CTCTCTCTCTCTCTCTCTCTCTCTCTCTCTCTCTCTCTCTCTCTCTCTCTCTCTCTCTCTCTCTCTCTCTCTCTCTCTCTCCGCATGCGAAGTGGTGCCACCTGCCTCTTCAACGAACCCGCGAGGCTCCAATGTTTGTGTGTGCGCAGTGACACCTACGCCCTCCAGCACGGTATCCTCCGCGACCATGTCATGCACGCCCTCGTGAAAGCTATGCACTCCTGCTCCTGCAATCGACGACATCACCCTTCCCGACGTCTCTAGCTCACGTCTAGCCTCCATGTCACGAGCAATTGCCTGTGTGCGCGAGTCGACATCGGCTAGGGCCTTTGCCCTTGCGGCCTCCTCCTCGTCCTCCCTCGCCTCTCGAACCATGCACCTGTCCTTTATTTTGGGTGCAGGCTCCCTTATCTGAATTGATTGTGGTTGAGGCCAGACCACCTCGGCATCGGCCTCCTGCAAGAATGGCCTCTCCCTCCATCATGGCAGGCAGGGTGGCCTCGAGTTCCTTTATGAAATGGCGCAGGGTGGCCTGCGACATACACTACCACCGGGAGGCTCTCCGAGTGTCCCCAAGTCCCCTAGCGACCATGCACTCCCCAACCCAGAACCAACACCACCACCCAAATCTCCTCTCTGCCCTCCCTCCGTCCCCGCACCCGTCGACGACAGCGGCGACTTGGAATCCAGTATGAGTTGTCTCTTCAGGTTCTTCGGATCCTTCCTAAGTCGCTGAAACACCAGGCCCCCGCCACGTCCCCTTGAATGGTCGCTGTCGTTTGATGAACCCCGTACAACGGAAAATACGCCCAACTGCCTGACCCTGTCTGTTATGGGCTCCTCCCATGCCTGGTATGCCCCCTTTGTGTGGGCAAAGACGAGGCAGGCCAACGTGTCGGGGGGAGTTGTGGTCTGGCCTAGCAGCACTACATGAGAGCTCCCTGATCCGTCCTAACATTCGTGAACTCCATCCATCCCCCTCCCTGTGTCCTCAAATATATCTCTGCCCCCACCTGTGTTGCACCCCGTACGAATACGGGGCGGCCGTACGACCCATAGGGTCGCACATGGGGGCCGTACGGGCCGTATGTACGGCCGTATGAGCTGTTTCGGCGGGCTTCCCCGGGGGGGGCTGACACGTGAGGGGGTCGGGGGCGGTGTGCATGCTGGGGGCTGGCCCCCCGATGTACAAAACAAGAAGAAAAAAAGAAAGTTCGTTTGGGGGTTGGGTGCTGTCTCTTATACACATCTAGATGTGTATAAGAGACAGGGCCCATACAAGCCTGAATTGAACTAGGGGTACCAGATGTACTTGGACTGCCGTTAGGTCCAATTCATCCGTTTTATGCTCAGAGAAACAGACTGAGCTGAAGAAA